TGTATTGATTTCTATTCGGCGTAGTCCGTGGTAAGCATCGCTGTTCACTCTCAGCGTGTACGTCCCCAGCTGTCAGTTGGGCCGCATGCGTCTTGGTGCTCGTGGGCTGGGATGACAACTTGACATGCGGACTAGAGTATCCGAGCTCGCGCGCTGACGTGCTCAGAACCTTGGAGAGCTGATGCCCGATTCGTGACCACCGTTGTTTGGTTGAACATGTCACCACCCTGGTCTCTCACTCTGCTGGTGCACGCTGCCCGACGGCATTGGTTGCATGTGTTATGCTCGTGTGGCTCTGCACGTCTCCCTTTGCGTCCTGGAATGAGTGGGATGCGAGCCTGTTCTAAAAGGGCAGAGTGCGATTGCCCCACCGCTAACCAGCTTCTCTCATCATATGATTGGGAGCAAGCTTCGTCCATGGTGGTTTCACGCTGGTGGCACACGCCTTGTGTTCCGAAGCATATGTTTGTCCTTTCTTCCCCCATGTTTTCCTCATTGAAAGTATTCGCGCTGTGCGAGCGACTCGGGCCACTGATATGAGGTATATTGATTTTTAGTCGGCGTAGTCCGTGGTAAGCCTCGCTGTTCACTCTCAGCGTATAGATCCCCAGCGGTCAGTTGGGCCGCATGCGTCTTGGTGCTCCTGGGCGGGGATGACAACTTGACATGCGGACTAGAGTATCCGAGCTCGCGCGCTGACTTGAAACAGAACCTTAGAGAGCTGATGCCCGATTCGTGACCACCGTTTTTTGGTTGAAATGTCACCATCCTGGTCTCTCACACTGCTGGTGCACGCTGCCCGATGGTGCGTACACCACGCTTCGTCCATAGTGGGTCAACGAGGAGACATAACGCTGCAAGCGTTGAGCGGTGAGCTTATGTTGGACGTTATTGTGCGTTCGCGCAGCCGCACCAGAAACGCACCTCATCCTGGTGTTCCTCTTTATTATCGTCCTCTCCTCATTTCTCCTTCTTCTCCTTCCCTCTCCCCTATGCCCCCCCTCCCCACTGCATTTACATTCTTCCGCCTGCCGCGTCCCTCCTCGCGTTTGTGTGTTTCTGGTCGCTGCCTTGGTTCCGTGCGGTCCGAACCAGATTTCCCTACTTCAGTTCTGCCCCGACAAGTTTTGGAAGTGTGGAGTGGTATGGAAGGCTTTTTGCTTCTCTGGATCGGCACATGCGTACACTGCAGAGACTCGTCTCTCCACCCTATTTGGGACGATCCTATCGTCTTCGGTATCTGCGTAATTGCGCAAAGAGCTTCTGAGCAGGTGGTGCCTAGGGCTGCCGAAACAACGGAGAAATCGGCCTGGTTCTTCCCTTCTGCCGCCGCTGCTCCCCCGCCGCCTCCATCCCCCTAACCTCCCCCCTCTCTCCTGCTGTTCCTTTTTTTGTTGTTCTCTCTCTCTCTCTCTTCCGCTTACCTGGGGTCTTTTGATGACCCTCGCCATTCCTGTCTGTCGAATCGCGCGTCGATTAGCGAACACGACGGCGGACTGCACCAACACAACTCGGATGCCGGTGTCCTGGGAGGTCAGCTGAGTGAGGTCCACGCGGATTTGTTGAGACCTCGCGGCTCCCTCCAGGGCTGCGAACCTCGCGACTGTCACAATTTGTGTGGGTGCCTGGGAGGTCCAGCTCGTGTGTATTGCGGGTCCTTCAACATGTTTGCGTGTATTGCGCGGTCCCAAATATATTCACCAATTGTGTATAAAAGGGTTGGGTACGTCACCCGGTAATCTAAAGGCTGCCGCCTCTGCCGCCGACCCCAAATTGGGGTATTGTGTTCGGTGTTGTGTGTTGTCGTGTTCTGTAGCTAATGGGCGACGCCGAAGTTGGCAGGCGCATGGCTGCCTTTCGAGCCGCCCGTTACCTGGTCGCGCGGCTGTGGAGGAATGTTGGCGTCATCCATGCCACCGCGCATGTGGAAGGTGCTGATTGCACCGCGCCGCACCGCCACCACCACCACCACCGCCACCACCGCCACTACCACCACCACCACCACAACCACAACCAGCACCAGCACCAGTACCAACACCGCCACCACCAGCACCACCGCCACCACCACCACCACTACCACCACCACCACCACCACCACCACTACCACCGCCACCACCACCACCACCACCACGACAACCACGCTCACACGCACGCGCGCGCGCTTGCACCACCACCCACTGCGCGCGCGCGCGGAGCCACAGGTTCGCTACGACACGCGTCCGCGGATAGAGAGAGAAAATCAGCGCCACGGTAAGGGATGGGAGGGAGGGGTAGGACGTCAGATATGACGCGAGCGCACCTAGCTTGTCCTCCCCTCCCTCCCCCTCCCCCTCTCCTTCCGCTTCCTCCTCCCAGGGGGGGGCCTCGCGGGGGGGGCGCCGGCGCGGCCTCCGCGCGCGGGCGCGGGCGCCGCCGCCGGCGTTGCCGCGGGCGCCGCTGCGGGCGCCGCCGCGGGCACCGCCGCGAGCGGGCGCGCTGGAGCTCCGCCGCCAGGCGCGCCGCTCCCCGGCCGCGCGCGCGCCCGGCCTCGAGCGGCGCCGCGGTCGGCGGTCGGAGGGCCCCCGGGGGCTCCACGCTGCGAAGCAGCGAGGCGCTGCACTCGATGGCGACCGTTCTCTTCTTCCATTTTCTGCCGATCGGCGCGGGCCCTCGCTCCCCCCCTCTCCCCCCCTCCCCGGAGTAGATCTTGGCTGATTGGGGGGCCCTGTTTCGAGCAGGTGGAGTCCCTCCCCCACGGTTCCCAACAGTGGCATTCAGCAGAGGTCCGGAGCCAGACCCCTCCCCCCCCCCCCCTTCCGCAATGCTGAAACACCGAGAAGGAAAACGCTCACATGGAAGCGAGCAGGAGGAGGCCTTCTCCGAAGGCGGCGGGGCTTCTCGGAAGCCCTCGCGCCTCCTTCCAAGAGGTTTCCGCGTCTTCGGGATAGACTTTGACTGGGCATCGCTCGGACGTGTGCATTTGTTTCTCGGCGAGGACCCTGGAGGAGCATCCTGGACCATCGAGCAAAAAAAAATCGCACGAAACCGACACATGCACGGGAAATGGACGTCCGAGCGACGCTCGGGGAGCCCGTGTTTCTGAGGATGTCCCACGCGAGGGCGCTGGTTTGGAATTCATTGCTCGCGAATCGGTTCCGATCCCTCCTCATCCTTCTCTTCCCTCCCCCAGGGGGCGGCGCGAGAGAAAGAGCGCGATGTGATTCGCGCTTCGCGCGGCGTGGGGGCGCGAAGTGAGGCGCCCAACTGGCGACAGAAGCCCCTGCTTGTGAATTGTCCAGATGGTGCCGCCTGCCGTCGCCAGCCCAGGCGGTCGCAACCGACGCTGGCACCACGACATCGCGAAAGTTGAGCCCGCGGCCACGCGCAGAGGGAGGTACACAGTCAGATTGGGGTATGAGATCGAGGTAGTCTCGGGGAGGGTACCTTCATGCGTTTCGTGTTTGTTGGAGGCTCATGTGCATCCTGGGGGAGGGCTCCCTCGAATGATCCTGAAGTTTGGGGTGTTTTGGCCAGCGGAGGGTGTCATGTTTTCGAAGGATGTCATTCTGGCCTAGGTCCGACTGAGTGCTTTCGGGGTGAGAATGCCAGACGAGGGAGGAGCCAGGTGGGGTGCGTGGGTCGGTTTTGGGCCAGAATTTCTCGAGTTGGGGGGCTCCAGGAACAGAGTGCTCCCGGGGTGAGAATGCCAGACGAGGGAGGGGCCAGGTGAGGGGCGTGGGTAGGGTTTGGGCCAGAATTTGTCGAGTGGGGGGGCCCACGAACAGAGTGCTCTCGGGGTGAGAATGCCAGATGGAGGGGGGGGGGGGGGGGGCAGGTGGGGGGCGTGGGTAGGTTTTGGGTCAGAATTTGTCGAGTAGGGGGCCCCAAGAACAGAATGCTCTCGGGGTGAGAATGCCAGGCGAGGGAGGGGCCAGGCGGGGGGCGTGGGTAGGTTGTGGGTTCGAATTTGTCGACTGGCGGGCCCCAAGAATAGAGTGCTCTCGGCATGAGAATGCCAGACGAGGGAGGGGCAGGTGGGGGGCGTGTGTAGGTTTTGGGCCAGAAGTTGTCGAGTGGGGGGCCCCAAGAATAGAGTGCTCTCGGGGTGAGAATGCCAGACGAGGAGGGGCCAGGTGGGGCGCGTGGGTAGGTTTTGGGCCAGAATGTGTCGAGTGCGGGGTCCCAAGAACAGAGTTCTCTCGGGGTGGGCATGCCAGAGCAGGAGGGGGCCAGGTGGGGGGCGTGGGCAGGTTCTGGCCAGAAGTTGTCGAGTGGAGGGTCCGAAGAGTAGAACTGTCTCGGGGTGAGAATGCCAGACCAGGGTGGTCGCACTAGTTGTCTAATCAGAGCTTGCCTTTGTAAAGGTCCCCGCGGATTCATATCCCAATCAGAGGTTGCCTTTGTAGGGGTCTTAGCGGATTCGTATACTTAGGTTACGTGTACCGCCGACTTCGGCGGCACGCCCTGGTATCCGGATGCTGGGGTGCTGAGGACCCAGAGGCGATATTGTAGAAGAATGTCTGTGGTTTTCGCGCTGGGGATCGCATCGTGGAATGCAGCCACCTGCGAGGCGACGAAGTGAGTCCTCATCTTTCGTCCCCTTCCCCCTCTTTCGCAGCTATAAGGATCCTTGCAGTTCATTCGTCCGCTCTGCTGAGAACGTCGCCTTGGCCCTTCGTTCCAGGAACAATCGTGCGGCTGGCCATGTACGCGGCGACGCACAAAGTCTCCGATCTTCAGGTGAGCACGGCTACGTGCACGTTGCCGCGGACCTTCGTGCAAAGGCTGGATGAGGCGTGCGCGCATGGCGGGGCCGACGACACGTCGAACTCCAGCGAGGACGAGGAAGACGGCGGGAAGGCAGAACGGGTAAGTAAACGCGGGCGCGTCCACGAGGGAGTGCCCTTGGGCGCGAATGAGGCGGCCCGAGAAGCAGTGGAGCGCGACATGCTGACTCAGGCTGGGCGCGAAAGGAAGCGCGTGGATCGGCTCCGCGTGCGCACTGGAAACGTTATGATGGATCAGTTCGAGCCCTGGTATTTTGGGGTAGCGTTCGCGTTCTTGTTTAAGTATTGCACGGGAATGCCTGACTGCCCAGAGTTCATGAAGCGCCCGCGCCACCGAAGGGGGAACGGGGCGCCGCGGGTGGAGCTGCCGCTGTGGGTGAGGATAATGAGTCGTCGCGTGGAGAGCCAGATTTCCCGCGACTGGCACTTCGGATTCGTGTCGTGGAACCTTGTGTTTCGATCGGCCGTGAACCTGAGTAGGACGTGGTTCACGTATGTGTCCGCGAACGCATCAGGCGAGGTCGAGCAGCTCACTCCCGCGGAAATCGCGGAAGGAGCGAAGCAGATTTATCAAGCGCTCGACGGGAAGTACGTAGACATCAACAATAGGAAACAGAAAGTGAACGGCGACATGACCAAAGTGCGGCACGTGCCAACGTTGGGGAAAGCCGCCCATAAGCTGCTTACGCACATAGAGCACACTTCGAGGCGACTGTCTGGTACACAGGAAGCGCGCCGAGTCATGCGATTTGAGACGAACGCGCTGCGAGTGCGGTACGGCGTCCCCATTTTCGTAACCTTCTCGCCCGACGAAGGTCACAATCTTCTCATGGTGAGACTCTCGCGCACTCGACGGCAAGACCCTGTGCACAAGGCGGCTGATGACGAAGCGCAGTCGCGGCTGGCGGGGGGTCGGGGCTGGCCGCGCGTAGCCCCCGACATGGAGGGGCTGCAGATGGACCTGCCAATGGCCGCGGGGGAGGCAGAAGTGCCGCCATGGAACGAGCGGAGACGAATTCTTGCGAGAGATCCCATGGCCAGCGTGGACGGGTTCCGTATCCTGGTGGACGCCGCGCTCCGTCACTTGTTCGGCGTGCGGATCTGTCCGAACTGCCCGCGGTGCAACGAGGCGGAGAACGGGACACCGTGCCAGGACCTGTTCGGGAGTAATGCGGAGCCCGGTGGGGGCGCGTTCGGGCGCGTTGATGCCTACTACGTGTCGATCGAAGCGCAGAAGTCCACGGGGTCGCTCCACGCGCACTGCCAGGTATTCATCCAGTGCCTGCACCAGCACACACCGCTGGAAGAAGTATTCGAAATCGTACGCGACGAGGTGGAAGGCCGCGGAAGAAAGATCGTGGAGGATTACTTGAAGTATAAGAGTCGCGTGTGCCGCCAGGTTTATTCGGAGCAGATGACATCGGAGGAGGTGGATGGCAAGTTGGAGGAGGCAGAGAAGTCGTGGCCGGAGTTCAAGGAAGAGCGCGGTCTCATTTGCAGGCCCGCGTTTCAGTGTCGCACACTTGACCCAGAAGCAACGGAGAAGGAGGCAGCAGACGACGCAGCGGCATGGGAGAAAGCGTATTTGGACGAAGACGTGCAGTACTTGCAGGAGAGGAAGCAGAACCACGTTCATTTGAAGAACGAAGAGACTGGGGAGCGAGTACCCCTGCCGGCGTGCCGCCGGAAGGACAACCCGAAGTTGTGTAAGGCGGACTTTCCGCGGACGTCGCAGCTCATTGACCGCGCCATCGTCGTGTGTCCAGGGCAGGCGGCAGCGTTGGACATGCCCAAGGCAGGGCGACGGAATCGGACGGGAAGCCTGCACGGGCCGATGAATCACGCGAGTCTGAACGGCACGCATCCATGCATGTTGTCCGCGCAACGTTTCAATTCCGACGTGCAATTGCCGTATCGTTTCCCCATCACAGATGTGTGTTGTACGTGCGGGAAAGCGTGCGATAAGAAGCTCAACGACGCAGCGATCATCAAGGTCGCGCAGATGGCACAGGACGCACAGGCAGGGTACGCCTGCGATTACTGCACGAAGCGGCAACCCATGGCTTTTCACGAAGTGAAGGAGTGCTGCAAGGGAGTAGAGAAACTTGGCAGGCAGCTGCAGGGCGAGAATTCGAATCGGATCGGGAAGAGAGTAGCGAATCGCATCATGAGCGACGCGTACGGCAAAGGCATCGTGCGGGGGCAAGTGGAGTGTGCGAACCTGAGAGCGTTCGCGAGGGAGGACGACGTCACTGCGGCGGAAGCACTGAAGTCGTGCCAGACCACAGCCTTTTATGGACGCGAGTACGTGGACTTGGTCGAGCGCCTGGCAGACCGCGCGGCAGGCGGGCGGAAAGCGCAGTTTGCTGAAGTGGACATGCGGCAGAGGAGACGCAGAAAGGTGACCTTCCGAGACGTGGGCATGTTGTATGGACTGCGACCGAACGAGCCCGACCTGTGGCACTTGTCGCCGTACGAGTTCGCGACGTTCTGGACGCCGGTGTTGGTGTCGTTCCCCACGAGACTCGGGGATGCGGACCATCCTCGGCATCACGCTGTCTTGACGCAGAAGGGCAAGGAAAAGGTGCGCGAGAATTGTAAGAACCCGAGATTGGAGCAGGACCTGGAACCTGGGGAGGACTACATGGTGAAGGAAGGAGGGGGCGTGGATTGGGTGCCGTACCCAGAGACAGACGGGTGCGCCCACCTTCGTCATACGTGGGTGCTCAAGCGGAACAAGAGACCCAAGGCACCAACATTTTTCGGAGCGCCCGTGCCACGCGGACGTCCTGGAGAAGCGGAGCGATCTGCGCGCATTGTCATGACGTACTTCCACCCGTGGACGTTGAGGCCCGACGCGGCCGACGCGCACGTCGTGTTTGCAGGGAGCCTGCGCGGCGAGGCGCCGACGTGGGACGCGGCCATGGTGGCATGGCTGGACGGCGGGGTGCAGACGAGGGAAGCCGCGCGGTACGTGGGCAACTTCCTGAGTGTGTACCGCGTTCGGCCACGAGACACTGAAGAGGCGGGGGACGGGACCGACGAAGACGTGAGCGACGAGGAGTTGGACGTGGGCTTCGATCAGCTCGACGAGGCGCTGAAGTCCCGCGTGGGCGGGAAGAGGCGCAAGGACGGCGACGGGGACAGCAGCAGCGAGGAGGACGACGCAGACCCTGGGCAGGGAGCCGGAGGCGTCTCCCACTACGAAAATTCGAAAGGGGGCATGAGTGTCGCGCAACAGGTGTGGGGGCTCCGCGATGGCGAAACGCCGTTGAGCGAGATTCTGGGTGCGTGGCCCGCAGAAGAGTCCTGCGACGTTGAGCAGGTACTCAGGGAGGCGCGCAAATCTCGGAACAAGGAGCAGTCCATGGCGGACCGCCTGGCGGAGGCTGACGGCGCAGTTACCGTCGCTGGCCAGGCCGCAACACCGGAGGACGTGACCGCGTGGCTCAAGGATCTAGAGTTCCGGGTGGACAAGCAGACGGGGCGGCGTGTAGTGAACGCGAAGCAGTTCGAGATGGTGAAGAAGGTGGCGAATCGAGTAATGCGCGAGATAGACGGCGAGGGAAGTGAGGACGGCAGCATGGGTGAGCCGCTGCAGTGGTGCATGCACGGGGGCCCTGGGACCGGCAAGTCGCACGTGCTTCGCATTATTCGTCATGAGCTGTTCGAGAAGGTGATGAAATGGACTATCGGAGTGCACTTCCAGATAACCGCCCTGCAGGCCGTCATGGCTCAGCTGCTGGGGGGCGACACCATTCACCATGCGTGTGGCATTCCGGCCATCAAGCGGGGAGAAGAGAAGGGGGGGGAGGACGTGAAGTTGCAGTACGAGACTGCGAAGCGACTGCTCCAGTGGAGGTGGCTCTTTATCGATGAAATAAGCATGGTGAGCGCTAAATTGTTAGCAGAAGTGGACGCGAAGCTTCGCGGTGTGATTCGGGACGTGGGCACGACGAAACTCGGCGACGATGGCGTTCCACGCCCGCTCGGCGGCCTGAACGTCGTGCTGAGTGGTGACTTCTGGCAGCTGGCCCCCCCAGACGGAGGCTTCCTCGCTGACGTCCCCACGGAGCGGATTTCGGCTGCGCGCAGGTACACTTCGCTGCCACCCGTGTTGCACGGGCAGTCGCTACTGTGGGGCGGAGCCGAGTGTGGGGTTCAGGGCGTGACAGAGCTGGTAGAGTGCGAGCGATGCGACGACGCCTGGTTGAAGGAGGTGCAGGAGGAATTCCGAACAGGGTCGCTGTCGGCGGATGCGCACGCATTCTTGCACGGCCGGCATACGACCGTCCCTGGGAGCTGGCTGGGGGGGGACGTATGCTGCGGGAATCGGGCGTGTCGGGAACTGTGCAGTGGCGGAAGGGACGCAGCGTCGTCAAGCGCGGGGCAAAGACGGAAACGCCCCGTGACGCCGAAAGATATCCGCGAGCAGGAGTGCAAGGTGTGCAGAACGGAACGCGCACGCCGCAAGCTCGTGGTGGATGGACCCGACGACCCGCGTCTGCAGTCAGACAAGTTCCTCGTGGCGCCGGGTGTGTTCCCAAACAACGACGTGAAGTACGAGGCGAACAAGCTCCGTGCGGCCCAGTACGCACGGAAGCACAGGATGCCGATGGTGTACGTCCCTGCGCGAGATACGCCCACGCCACAGGCGCTGCGGGAGCGGCCGGATCTGCCGCAGCAGAAGCTGGCATGGCTCCAACGCCACGACAAGGAGAGCGGGGACTTGTACGGCTTCTTGCCCATCGCTGAAGGCATGCCCGTCGCTCTGACCGATCATATCGATCGAAGCGAGGACAAAAACCTGCTGCGCGGTCGCGTGGGCCGGGTGCAATCCTGGGTATGCGACGGGGACGCCGTAAATGATCGAGTCACGCGCGGCGGGGAGAGCATATTGAAGAAGACTCCGAAAGTGATCTTCGTGTTGTTCGACGAAGGCGAAGACGGGAACGGCGGCAGGAAGCCATGCCAGTGGACGATCGAGGGATTGAAGGCGCCCGGGTTGTACCCCGTGATTCCGCAGAAGAAGGATTGGTTCGTGGACAAGGGCCGTCCGCATCCGCGACTGAAGGTCAAAAGACGGCAGTTCCCGCTGGCTCCGGCCTTCGGAGTGACGGCCCATGCGGCGCAGGGGCAGACGTTCAAGCAAGGTGTCATAGTGGACCTGAGCATCGGTGGGGGCACGTCACCTCTGTCGAGCTACGTGGCACTGACGCGGGTGCAACGCCGCGAGGACATGCTGATCTTTCGCCCTTTCGATATTGCGCCGTATCAGAAGAAGGACGAACGGAAGGGCCCGGACTTACTACTGCGCACGTTGCGCGGAGAAGAGTTGGACTGGGAGGCGATAGAGCGGGAGTTCATGCCGTCTGGCAGGTGCGCGGTCTGCGGGTGCACGAAGTACAAGAACATGTACCCAACGGTCGGGCAGTGGAGCCGCGCAGATGGGCTCCGCGTGTGCAGCGTGTGCCTGGAAGATAAGAAGAGGGCCGGCACGCCGTGGCAATGCATGGAGTGTGGTCTTTGGAAGTGCCAGGAGGCGTTCCACGCGTCACAGCACCATCCGTCGAAGTTGACCACGCGGCGCTGCGTGGATTGCCCGGAGAGACGGAGTTGTCGCGTGTGCGAGGATCGGAAGTACGAGCAAGCTTTCGCGGCGTTTCAGTGGGATAAGGCAGGGAACGCCCGGTGCAAAGGAGGGATGTGCCTGGAATGCGAGGAGCTGAAGAAGCACCTGACGTGTTCGCGCTGCGGCCAGCAGAAGTTACCAGTTGAATTTGCCAAAGCGGAACAGGTCAACGACGAACCCACATGCAAAGCTTGTAAGAAGTCGCAGAGAGAGGTGGAGAAGGATCGCGCCGAAGAGGCAACAGAGCGCGTGTGTTCCAACTGCGGAATCCCCCAAAGGAGAACCGAGTTTTCAGAGTACATGCTGAAGAACGCGCCGACAGCGTCGATGCAATGTAGGGAATGCGTAAACGCTGCAGCAGCAGAGCGGGATCAGGCGGCGAGGAAGGACATTAAAACTTGCGTGGTGTGCGAGAAGGCGCAACGGCAAGATTGTTTTTCGGATTGGATGTGGAACGGCGTTGCAGATTTGCACCGCAAGTGCAAGCGCTGCGTCGCTGCGCCGAAGAAGGACATGAAGACGTGCGCGGTGTGCGAGAAGGCGCAACGGCAAGATTGTTTTTCGGATTGGATGTGGAACGGCGTTGCAGATTTGCACCGCAAGTGCAAGCGCTGCGTCGCTGCGCCGAAGAAGGACATGAAGACGTGCGCGGTGTGCGAGAAGGCGCACCGGCAAGATTGGTTTTCTGATTGGATGTGGAACGGCGTGGCAGATCTGCATCGTAAGTGCAAGCAGTGCGTCGCTGCAGGGAGGAAGGAAGTGAGAACGTGTGTAGCGCGCGAGAAGGCGCAACAGAAAGATTGTTTCTCTGAAAAGATGTGGGACGGCAGGGCAGAACAACACCGCAAGTGCAAGCGATGCATCGACGACGCGAAGCTGCAGCGCGGGAAGTGGAAATGTGTTGAATGCAAAGGCGCTTTCGGCAGGGACGAATACAGCAGCTGGTTGGCCGGGCGAACGACGCAGAAGGCGGATGGGAAGCAAAGGTGTAACGAGTGCTGTGCTGGCCAAGAGCGCAAAAGGAAAGAAGTCGCTGAGCGGAGCCATGCGTCAGTGACGAAAGTGCGTAAGACTGGATAGCTGTTGCCGCAGCCGACAGGAGGGACGATGGACGCGCGTGCCAGTCGTGAAGCATGTTGCCGGGAGAGTAGGAGAGGCATGCTGGCAAGGATGGGGATGTCGTTTTTTTTTTGGGGGGGGGAGGGGGCGGGTGGCCATGTGGGGGCCAGGTGGGGGGTACGGGTCGTTTTTGGGCGAGAAATCGTGGGGTCGGGGGTCTT